ACAACATGCTGCCCTGTCTCCCTTTCTATTTTGACCTTTCTGGGAATTTAGTGCAAAATCCAAATGTCATTGTTGGCTCTGCATGATTTCACCATTCTCTAGGATGTGGCATTAGCCATGATGTTTGCATCACATGATATACTTAGCAGTGCCTTCTTTCTGACATAGTCGCATCCATACTATGTAGTGATGTTTTCTTTTGAGCCCTATACTGGATTATGGGAGGTTCGGGTTGCAGCATTGTTCCTTTTGAAAACAGTCCTCCTGCTACTGTCATGATGGAATTGTGCACTAAACTACCATTGTCTGATTCTGGCCTGAGATCCTTCTTTCAGTGATTCCTCTTTCTCCCTCTCTTTTATCCACAGAGCATCTAGAAAAATTGCTGCTCTTCAAAAATAGGATGTGTTGAGGTACTGATAGTGTTAAAAATGTTGTACAATAAAGTGTAACCTTGCTAGAGACTTTGAAACTTGGACCACTGTTTACATGGTCTGTTTTATATCTCGTGTGAGGCTTCCATCTGTCTGCAAGATATGTTGGTATAGGGAATGTTTTAGATGCTATGCTCTCCTTATGGATAAAGCTGTCATGTTTTGGCACCACATCAGTTTATTCATTCACCACTATGTCTTGTATTTCTGTGGCAATATGCTGGTTGTATTGGGATGAAGCTTGGTGCATACAAAAGATTCTTCCCATGAATGTGTAGGCTAGGAATACTCAGTAGATTATATGGAGATAAATCTGATGATTAGAAAAAGTGTGGAGTTTTGATTATCCACTGAAAACCTAATGTGTTTTCATTTTTATTTCAGAAATTTGAAAGTCATCTTGTAACTCTGGAGGAAGTGATGTAAAGAGCATCTGAGTTTAAAAGAAGCATTTGGCCCATGATCCTGTTATTAGCTTGAAAAAACAACAACAACATTTTGTACATTCATTCAATGCCTAACGTTTCAGACTCTCAACTAGAAAGTGATTCTGGACCAAACAAACATGGATCTGAAAAAAAGACTTCAGAAGTTAATCTTGATAATCCTATAAAAACATTTTGTGCTGCGGGTGCCTCAGTTTCCTCTCTGGGATCTAGTAGAGACAGGCATTACCCATGGGGATGTCCTGTGACACATACTCGAGAAAAGTTTTACACTATCTGCTCAGACTATGCTTTTTTAAACCAGGTTACATCTATTCGCAAAAGCCCAAGTGCTACAGTGAGTGCCTGCGTACAAGACAATGTTGCCTTAAATGCTGGAAAGAATTCTCCTGGTTTTATTGGTATTCGAACTGATACATCAGACTTGGTTTACAATGAAGATACTAACCTTGAAAGTTTGGCTAGTAACCTGGGAAAACTCCCAATGGCATGGGAAATTGATAAATCTGAATTTAGTGATTCTTCCCCAGATCTGAAGAATCGTGCAGGTACGTTAAACATTTTCTTTAAACTTTCTGATAAACAATGTCTGTTTTAAATGATAAATCAGAACCAACCCCTGAAAATATTTCTGTTACTGGAATTACTTCCAGTTTTGTAGCAGAATTTTTGAATTTGATTTAAAATATAATTTCATACCACATTGGAGAAAATTGCCTCCTGCAGTGCCAGTTGTGACAGTGATAATGATGATGATACATCTCTAATTTAGCTGCTGTATGAAAATTAAACAATAAGTCAGATTCTTCCCAGACTCGCTGTCCAATGAAATTGGAAATGATAAATATTGGAGTGTATAGAACAGAATAGTAGAAAACTGTTTGTTGCTCTGTATCTGTATATAAGGGGTGAGCCACATGTGCTGCCAAATCTGGCAGCAAACCATACTGCTGAATTTTGTTGGCACATTGCTAAATACCAATTTAAAAAGCAGAATTTTTGTTTTAAAGGTTTTTTGCATTCTGCTATAAGCCCCCTTAAAACAGTGATTTTCAACTAGTCTTACTGTGTTTTAGCAATTTACCACCAAAATGTGGGTGCAGTTTTACCATGTTGCAACAAGATGGCAGGTCCTACTTACTGGGCAAAACCCACTGAAATTGCCCACCCCAGGTGTATATGGTTCTGTATGTGTTAAGGCCATATACCAAAGATCTTTGACAATAAGAGTTTTGGAGGAGGGACAATGAAGTGTAACAGAAGATGTAGAAATACATTTACATATATTTTGGCTTCATTTTATCTGAGCAATGAAGATTAAGATGTTATGCTACAGTATTCACAGAAGCAGTGGCTTTTGAGGAGGGAAGGATTTGGAGAAAGACTGAGATGGCACAGTATAAGCATTCTGTGAGGATTTTTCTGGGTCACATAGGGTGACCAGCTGTTATAGCTCAACTATTTATCCTGTTTTGTTTCAGATGAAAAATGTTTTTGAAGGTTGATAGATATCACTGACTTCATTCGCACTTCCTAATTTGGAGCTTCTATACAAATAGATACAGCAATTTGTTGTTTAGTCAAGTTGTGTCCGACTCTTCATGACCCCATGGACCAGAGCACGCCAGACCCTCCTGTCTTCCACTGCCTCCCAGAGTTTGGTCAAATTCATGTTGGTAGCTTCGCAGACACTGTCCAACCATCTCGTCCTCTGTCATCTCCTTCTCCTCTTGCCTTCACACTTTCCCAAAATCAGGGTCTTTTCCAGGGAGTCTTCTCTTCTCATGAGATGGCCAAAGTATTGGAGCCTCAGCTTCAGGATCTGTCCTTCCAGTGAGCATTCGGGGTAGATTCCTTCAAAATTTGATAGGTTTCTTCTTTTTGCAGTCCAGGGATCTCTCAAGAGTCTCCTCCAGCACCACAATTCAAAAGCATCAATTCTTTGGCAGTCAGCCTTCTTTATGTCCCAGCTCTCACTTCCATACATCGCTACTGCAAAAACTATAGCTTTGACTATGTGGACCTTTGTCGGCACGGTGATGTCTCTTCTTTTTAAGATGCTGTCTAGGTTTGTCATCACTTTCCTCCCAAGGAGCAGGCATCTTTTAATTTTGTGGCTGCTGTCACCATCTGCAGTGATCATGGAGCCCAACAAAGTAAAATCTGTCACTGCCTCCATATCTTCCCCTTCTGTTTGCCAGGAGGTGATGGGACCAGTGGCCATGATCTTAGGTTTTTTTATGTTGATCTTCAGACCAGTTTTTGCGCTCACCTCTTTTGCATGAAGTATTCTGCATATAAGCTAAATAAGCAGGCAGACAATATACAGCCTTGTCATACTCCTTTCCCAATTTTGAACCAATCAGTTGTTCCATATCCAGTTCTAACTGTTGTTTCCTGTCCCACATATAGATTTCTCAGGAGATAGATAAGGTGGTCAGGCACTCCCATTTCTTTAAGAACTTGCCATAGTTTCTTGTGGTCCATACAGTCAAAGGCTTTTGTGTAGTCAATGAAGCAGAAGCAGCTGTTTTTCTGGAACTCTCTGGCTTTCTCCATAATCCAGCGCATATTAGCAATTTGGTCTCTAGTTCCTCTGACCCTTCGAAATCCAGCTTGTACTTCTGGGAGTTCTCGGTCCGCATACTGCCGAAGCCTGCCTTGGAGGACTTTGAGCATAACCTTGCTAGTGTGTGAAATGAGTGCAATTGTACGGTAGTTGGAGCATTCTTTGTCACTGCCCTTCTTTGGGATTGAGATGTAGACTGATCTTTTCCAATCCTCTGGCCACTGCTGAGTTTTCCAAACTTGCTGGCATATTGAGTGTAGCACCTTAACAGCACCATCTTTTAAGATTTTAAATGGTATGCCATCACCTCCACTGGCCTTGTTGTTAGCCATGCTTTCTAA